TGCACTGCGCACGGCAAAGCTTAGCTTATACGAAGGGGCGCCCGAAATAGACGTCATCAACCGGAAGAGTCGCACAAGAGGATTCGCCTTGCCTCTCCTTCTTTTTCGCATGCGCAAATAGTGGGTTCCATAGATTTATACTATGTAGAGGCGCGCGTCGCTCGACCCGTTAGAGTACTTCGGGTTTAGGAGACCCGTTTGTCTTTCAATAAGAAATTCCATGACTTTTCACTACAGAGTGAACAATGCCGGAAACGGTTACTGCGACTAATGCGGAACCATCATCAGTAATTGGAGAACTAAGCAACTAAAATAAGTGCCTGATTCCCCGACTCTTTTTCAAGCCAATTGGTTGACTCTTTTTCAAGCCAATTGGTTGAGACTGGATGTAGGAAATCCGAACTGTAGCCTCTCCATCAAACTGGAGCAAGCAGAGATCCCAATTGAAGAGAATATTGGATTATTTTAGTTACTTTAGCTACCAAAAGGTATATGTTTTAAGGATGTTAAGAGATTGCATCTCTTGAAGTTGCCAGCAATCTATAACAGTTTATGTCCTTATGCCTACAACAGATTTCAGTCTTATAACTAGCCAATTGGCTGATACAAAGAAAGTTAGGTAGCATGGTTGGTCCTGGATTTTACGGTACTTTATGGGAGATCTTCAGGGCATTTTAAGATGGTAAAAGGTTAGAGACAGTCTTGTCTAGTGGTTAAGGCACCAGTGTTACAGGTGTTATGTTTACCTTATACGCAGCTCTTATCATTTCTCTCTATTGTATTTGTTTCCTGTATCACATTGCTATTCTATGATTCATACCTGTTGTATTCTCACTCTCTAGGATGATGGCTCAGGGGTGAAATGTAAAATTTGTTACTACCGGTTCTGTGGGTGTGGCTTGGTGGTGGGGATAATGTGACTTGGTGGGTGTGGCCAACTTTTTTTTTTTTTTAAACTTTTCAAAGCATTTTTTCTAATGCTTTGAAAAGCCTCTGCCGATCAGGCAACTCAGTTGGGATCGTCAGAGACTTTTCAAAGCAATTTTTTACCACCTCTTCAGCCAAGAGGTTGCAGAAAAAAATGCTTTGAAAAGCTCTGACGATCCCAGCTGAGCCGCGCAATCATCAGAGGCTTTTTTTTTTTTACTTTTAAAAGCATTTTGTTTGTCGGAAGAGGTTATAGAAAAAATGCTTTTAAAAGTAAAAAAAAAAAAAAGCCTCTGATGATCCTGTGGCTCAGCTGGGCATAGTGGGGGGGGGGGGGGGGGTTTTTGCTACCTGTTCTCCGAACCACCTGCCGCCATCACTACCGGATTGGGCAATCCGGTCCGAACTGGGAGCATTTCACCCCTGTGATGGCTTCTGAAAAGTGATGGCTTGTGTTGTGTTTACGTACTCCATGTGAAACATGGTGTCAGAGGCTTCTGAATCTGTGCTGTCTCTACACATTTGATGCATGCTGGCCTAGCACATAGCGGTCCTGTCCTGGAAGCCAAGCATTTGAAGCAAGAAAATCAGCATCATGGCGGCCGCTAACAGCATACTACTGCCTGAGGCAATGAGGGTGAATGGGGATTGCAGCAGTAACTGGGACAACTTCAGAGAAGAATTTGAGGATTACTCCCTAGCCACAGGCTTAAATGACAAGCCGGCAGCAGTGCAGGCAGCCACGTTGAGGAGGCTGATGGGCGGCGAATGCACAATTTAACCCTTACAGAGGAGCAAAAAAGTGATCCTAAAGCCATTTTAGATGCCTTAGAAGTCTTTTTCAGATCCTCTAAAAATGTCATATATGAAGCTGAATTTGGCAGCTGTAAGCAAGAAGAAGGTGAATGAATAGACAGTTTCGTCACATGGCTAAGAGGAAAAGCTGCAAACTGTGAGTATGGCTCTGTGAGAGATTAATTTATTCTTGATAAAATAATTCTGGGTATCACTAGTGAAAACACACACCACCGCCTTTTGAGAGAATATAATTTAAGTTTACAAGCAGCAATTGAGGTATGTTGTACCACAGAACCTGTTGACAAATAGATGAAAGCTTTGGAGCAGGGTAAACATTGACAGTGTCAATGCAGTTTCCAAATAATAGCTAAGCATGAAGAACCATCACCACAAGCGCCAGCACAAACTTCATCCACACAACTCACCTGGGAGCAAACCAGTATCATGCAAGTACTATGGCAGTGCGTGTGTACAATAGAAAGAGCAGTATGGGAAAATCTGCAGAGCATGTGACTTCATCACCATGTCATCCAAAAGCTAATGGCAAAGCTGAATCAGCTGAGAAGATTGTTAAGAGTTTATGCAAGAAAGCACAAAGTGATGGGTAAAGATTCATGGAAGGCCATTCTACATTGAAGAAATACTCCAACTGAGGGCAAAGACAGTAGTCTGGCACAGACCAATGTCAAGGAGACTAAAGACCTCCTTACCATAAGTTGCTTGAGCCCTCTGTGATACAGGGTGCCCCAGAAAAGTTACAGCTTAAGAGACAAGCATTCAAGGTAAGATATGACAAATCAGTCAGATTTTCCAGAGTTGAATATTGGGGAATGAATCCGCATGAAACTGCTGCCTGGAGATCGAACAGGTTGCTGGAAAATGGGTATCTGTTCACAACAGATGGCACCACGCTCCTATCTATTCCCTCTGGACATTGAGGGAACTCTCTATTGTCACAATTGTGTGGATCTGCGGGTGGCTGAGCAGCCTGATTCTCCATATCCAGTGGCCAGGCCAGATTCACCTGGTATTACCAGGCCACACTTACCCACTGACAATAGGGAATGCAGAGTGTTGCTGCCACAGACCAATGTTAATGACAATCCTGAGCAAGCCAGTATACCTGAGAGCACTCAAATGCAGAACGTCCCAGTAAGTGGTGAGAAGAGCCCAGCAACCTCAGCAAGGTCAGAGAAACTTAGTACAAAGAGGGCCAGTCTTCACCTGTAGTGGCAGATGTTCACAACCACCCAACAGACTTAACCTATAGAAAATGTTGGTATTGGTTCTTATTCGAAATTTCACACTGTTGTTTGGTTAACATGATGTTAAAGATGTTGCAGGTGTTACGTTTATCTTATATGCAGCTCTATCATCCATCTCTATTGTATTTGTTTCCTGTATCATATTGCTATTCTATGATTTATCTTTATTGTTCCTGCTCCTGTTGTATTTCTCACTCTAATAATAAGATGGCTTCTGCACAGTGATGGCTTGTATTGTATTTACTTACTCCATATGAAATAACCAGGTTGTAAACAAGGACACTTGAGTTGTAATCCAACTCTCTTAATTATCAATTTCTTAGAGACCGTTTGAAATTACGACAGACCATCCAAAAGCTACTTCTGACCAGATTCCAGAGTTGGTCATGAAACTGCACCCACTTCAGTTACATAACATTTCAGATGCTTGGCAACTGGCTCACCTTAATGGCTGGTTGCAACACTCTGTAGTCACATTTTTTTTTCTGGTTCCCAGCCTTTTTGGAATACATTGATTTACTTAACGACCATGCCATTTGCTTAATGACCACCCAAAAAAGTCATAAAATTTGTTGGGGTTGTCACATGGATACTTTGATCTATGAGCTTCATAACTTAACAGAAATTCCAGGCTCCATTATGGTTGTAAGTTAAGGACTACCTGTACTGCTGTTGGTAGCTTTCCCATCACATCTAAAATTTAGATTCTGGGTTCATTATTAATTAGTATAAAAATGTTGAATCTGTAGTCAGCGGCCTTTTTTAGTCTCTGTAGTAAAATATATTAAGAAGAGTCTCATAGCCAAGAGATAGAATGCATTATGTACAGGAAAGGATGATTTGTATCAGTGAGTAAAATTTCAGGTTTGGTAACATGGTGAGAATTTGGTGGTTTGGTCAAAACTTCATTTTCTTGTCAACTGTGTGATAGCAATGCTAAGGGAAGAGAGCATAAGATCGAAGGGTGTTTGGAAATTAGTTTTAGCAAAGTGGGACTCTTAAATATTCTTATAGCCTTAATAAAGATGTTATCAGTTAAATGACATTTGGCAGATTTTTAAACTCTTCCTAATTGCAAAATCCACTGTGGAAAAAAAGACATATATTCTATTTTCTGGGGTTAGGAGATTCTTAAAGAATTTTGAGACTGTATTGTGGGCATTTGTACTGAATTTTACTGGTTTTGGCCATTTGCAAATATTGCTTTACTTGGTGTGGTCAGTCACAAGCTTCCCAAAAGTCAATCTGAACAGGATGTTCTCTAATAAACCCTAGTTTGTATTTTTTTTCCCAGAGGTGCCAGAAACTCTTTCAACGAAAGCGTTGGTTTGCAACCATTCCCTTTTATATTTTCTACAACCCAAAGCCATTTTTAGAAACATATTTGATGTAAGAAACTTGTATTTCAGTTGGCAGCATGCAACTTCTTGTTTAATGTTTAAATTTACATTCCTGAGCCAAGTCTTCAGAAAATTCAGAAAGACCCAAACAATCTCCAACATTTGAGGTCCCATATAAAAAAATATATAAAATGCCAGGAAAATAAAACAATTAAGTTCTACTATAAGGACAATGTAACCTCCCACAATTATTTACTGACTACATTTTGAACTTGAGACCCAGACCAACAGGCCTGTTTTCTGATTGACCTCAGGCATAACAATTACATGGAAGCTCAGAAAGATGTAAAGATTGGTCAGAAAGAAATTTAGCTGAGAGAAATATATCCAGGCTTCTTTAACCACTGCAACACACTAATAAAATGCGATTGCATAACTTTCATGATATTAAGACTTAAGATAAGTCATTGAATCTATCAGAGGAAGAAGTCTGTGAACAAATATTCACCCTCTTAGTTTCAGGAGCATTGGAAAATTGGATGCCTATGAGGCACCAGAGAATCTCCAAATGACTTAATAAAGCTATGTGCAGGCTTGCAGAGTTATGTTTGAAGTCAACTTACGTTTTCTTCAGCTCCACCATTAAAAATAACACAATACACATTGCAAATAAGTCAATAAAAAATTTAATCTCTCTATAGAAACAGTACACAGTCTTACAAATGTATTCATTTGGTTTTTCAGTACCCTCTATGGATGTAAGTATCAGAAACATTAGAAACAGCAGAGTCCTCCCTTCTCCATACCCCTAACCCAATGTTTCTCAATCTTGGCAAGTTTAAGGTATGTGGACTTCAGCTCACAGAATTCCCCTACTAGCATACTGGCTGGGGAATTCTAGGATTTGAAGTCCACATATCTTAAAGTTACTAAGGTTGAAAAGTACCACCCTAAACCATTTGTTCAGAATAAAAACAAACAGAAAAGGCACCACGCAAGAACGCTGCATCCTAATGGAATTTCATTATGACAAGACAAAGCTCAAAAATGATTACTGTACAGTGATAAACAAATTTTGAATGTTCCCAGTTTTGTATTGAAAATATTATTTTTATTTTAAGGAAAATTTGATTATCAACTCGATGTAGTTACAAATCTGTCATGTTGGAAATCAGGAAAACCGAGTAATTTACAATGGTTTGGAGAAAAATTCCAGCATTATACATAGGATTTGTACAAGGTTTTACTTTTTTTTTTTGAAAAAAGTATCAAAATGGTAAATTATTCAAATCTATATACAGTTTGAGGTTAGTTACAGTTATTACATACAAAGCCTTTTTCTTTATTTTATAATTTTGTTCATGCACACAGTGCATGGTTTTGTAGTAACTGAGTAGAGCAGCTTTAAATATTTTCTTTTCCCTCTACATTTTTCTTCAGAAGCGTGTATTTAACTCTAAAGCTTCTTTCTCAAAATCTAGCAGAAAGAAATAGACATCCTTCTCAATACCCATTATAAACAAGCAGCAAAGTGAATAAACTTTCCAAGGTGCAGATTCTATTATACTCTTTTAACTTCTCACTCACTTATCCTTAACATGAAGGACCAGTTTAGGCATATTGGTATTTGTCATCAAGATGACTTCCTATTATCAGAGAGTCATCTTGAATATTATGACTTACATCAATGAATATATATTTTTAGTAGTTGAACAGCCATCATAAACATGGGATACTCTGTGTGTATACATGTCATCGTATAAACTGGAAGCAATTTTGCAACCATTAGATCAGGGCTGTCAAACCTGCGTCATCACGTGACATATTGGGACTTTTTTCCCCTTAACTGGGTGGGGGCGTGGACAGCATGTGACGCATCTGGCCTGCGGGCAGCGAGTTTGAGACCCCTGCATTAGATCATCTGTTTTGTTTGCAGAGAAAATCTTTGAAGTCTATAAAAGTACAAGATTGTCTTTGTATCACTACATTTCAAGCAAAAGTTCAATTTGTTATGAAATTGATTCTATGAAGGGCAGAATTTTTTTTAAAACCAACCCAGGATTACAGTGTTTCATACAGTCAGTACAAGAGTTGCAATTCAAGGCTACCAGGCAGTACAGAGGAGATATAATAGCCACCTACTGGAACTGCTATGCTTAATAGATATTGCTTATTCATAATTATTTATAAGAGATCCTAGGCAAAAAATAATTCTACAGCATTTTCAGTTTCACAGCTCAGTTTTCTAGTGCATGCAAATAGCTATCCAGAGCACCAAAATTAAGGAATTTAACAAGATTGCAAATTCCTGTTCAGCCTAGCACTGGTATCTGCAATAGCCACAATCATGGGGAAATGACATTACATATGCAGTGACAGGCAAAACCCAGCTTTATGTATTAGTGCCCTGATGACCGACACAAATATATGTAAGTCATGGTGTTTGGGTCATGACATTGTGCACTTTCTTTTTGTCACATGCCCACCATCCTCCCCCCATGGAGATTTATGCTCACTAGTTAATGTCATGGCCAGGCATTTCCTTTCAACTTCACTACCTCATGAGAAATTGCAGTTACCCTGTTTGTTTAAAAAAAACTCTCTCTGGAATTATTCTGGGACATGCATTATCAGAATGCCTCTCCAGATCAGGTGGATCTTTTTAGTCCTTTCCATTAACCCACATCATCTGGAGAAAAAAAATATATTCAGGAGTACACCCAAGCTCACTGGTAACTAACTTTTAAGATAAAAAAAATGAGTTCCAGGGAGGTCATGAGATTATTTAGTTTAACGCTCAGAAGTGGTTCTTCAGGATACCTCCATCAGTCCTATGGTTTACACTATGGGTCTCCAACCTTGGCAACTTTAAGACTTGTGGACTTCAACTCCCAAAGTTCTCTGGGAACTCCCAAAGTTCTCAAAGAACTCTGGGAGTTGAAGTCCACAAGTTTCAAAGTTGGAGACCCCTGGTTTACACTGTTGTGCTTTTCATTTGGGTACAACCAGATCAAAAAATTGTTCAACAATTGGATCAACAGCAAAATCCAAATAAATAAGTGGGCCCACTGATCATATAATAGTTTATACCAATAAAGATGTGCCACTTTGACTTTCGTAAATTTTGGGTTTTTTCCCCTCTAGAATTCTCTTTTGTAATTAGCTGAATATTGAATTAAATATGGTGGATCCAAGCAACACTTAATACAGTATTAAACTACCTGGACAGTTCTTTATCGTGACCTAAATTCTTCAATAATACTTCCCTATAATTTAGCCCTGTTCAGCAAAATCCTTTCCAGTTGTAATTCAAAGTTTCTTGTTTACAGGTCCAGCAATTTTTACTGCTTCCAGTTGCTTGTGGCTGGAAAATTTATGATCAATTGCTTCTTTTCTAACCATTGTATAATTGCTCCAAGATCAGTTTCTGGATTTTTTTTTTGTGTGTGTGTGTATTACAACTCTACATTTTTCCCTCTTTTAATCATTTACTTGGGAAATTTACAAGGGAAATACAATTTCCCACAGGAAGAGAAAATTACTTTAGGTTAGGCTAATTAAAAGAGACCATTCAAAGTGCAATTAACCAAATGTAATTAACAAGATTCAATGAAACAGTAATATCTGCAAATAGGAAACTTAAATTAGAAGCATAGGATACCCCAATAGCACAACATTTGTGCTATTCCTACAGCAAGTAGACAAGCTGTAATCTTTTTAATACTACTTCCTCCCCCACCCCTGCACATTATATTCTTTGATGTCATCAACTTCACTTTGATTCTTTATAAACTTTGAATAAATGGGGAATGAGAATTCCAGGGAAAAGGACTATAATCTTGGATCATTAATTCCACTAATTTGAATCAACAGCAAAGATTACTAGCAGAATAATGGCTTCATCAGAATAATTTCATCAGATTTGGCTTAAAACTGATTCCATATATTTGGAATAGCTTCCAATGTCTTCAGCCCACTAAAACCAGTGTTTCCATAATCTTATGCATTCTTACAGTAAAAAGCAGCAAGTCCCACTGAATGCCATGAGACTTACTTTTAAAAATATATACGTAGAATTGTTCTGCACAGGTGAGATACTGGAGAAAAAAATCCTTTCTTACATTCATTTAATAAGCTCTAAAAGAAAACTAGGTATAATTGGTGAACACTCTTTTTTTAACCAATAATGAAGCTTTATAACGCTTAAAAATTAATAAGGCTAACCAATATATGGCTACTTTGAAGAGTGGTCACCAAGAGTGGGCTCTTTTCTTAAAAACTGTATTACAGATGGCATCTTAAATTTGCTTATATCTTGCCAGGTTAATGATTTGGGATGTATGGGCACTGTCCTCCATTTTACAGGGCGATGCTTGTAGCAATGTTCTGAGCTTCTCCATTTACTGAAAAAGAGTACCTCTGTTAACCCAGGCTTTTAGGAGCACAAATATTCTTTCTGATAAAAGCAGATGGGAAATCTTTGCAAGGGGCTCATTATTGGCATGAGAACTCTGCCTTTTGCTGGGTGTGCAAGCGTCAGAGGCATAAACAGGTCTACCTTGCAGGCCCGGGTAGTCCTTAACTTACAACCATTTGTTTAGCGACGGTTCCAAATTACAACAGCACTGAAAAAAATGATGTAATCTGATCCTTGCACTTACAACTGTTGCAGGATCCCCACAGTCACATGATCAAAATGTGGGTGCTTGACAACTGGCAATTTATGACAATTGCAGGTTCCTGGGGTCATGTGATTGACATTTGCTACTTTTCCAGCCAATTTCAATGGGGAAACCAGACTCACTTGGCTCACTTAACATGGCTTACTTACAACTGCAGTGGTTAATTTAACCATGCAAAATGGTAGTAAAATCATGCTCAGCTCACTTAATGACTGTCCTGCTTAGCAGTGGAAATTCTGGTTCCAACAGTGGTTGTAAATTGAGGATTATCTGCAGAGTTTGGTTTGTTCATGATGGGGACACTTTAGTTTCTTGATCATTTTTGGATTATCTTATTGTAACATCTATGATTCTCACTCAGTGGCTTTAGACTTTGTAGCAAAGTTTTCACTAAACATCCTTTAAGAATTAAATTACTCTATTTATCATAGAGCTGAGCTATTCTTTCTAAAATATATTCATATATGTATATTTATATATGTGAATGTCTAAATACCTATCCAGCCTTGATAGATATACAAATTATCTCTGCAATACGAGTCAAATGTAAAAAAAAAATATAAATACTTTTGTCCTCTACATATATGTACAGCTCAAATTTGATATTCAGAATTTGTTAATAAATATTCTAAATGGTTTATACAGATCTCTCTTTCTGTCCGTATATTGATAAGATAGCCACAAAGTATGCTTGACATATTTACAAAACATCTATAAATATAATTTTTAGAAATGATGTGTAAGCTGCTGATCCTTGGGTTGGGCTGGCAGCATTCAGTAGTAGGCTCCTCACTATTACAGATGGATAGTGCAAGAAGTTAAAAGGGTGTATAAAAGATTATACATACAAAACTCTCACATCCTTTGGATGTTTGCAGTTCATTACAACTTTGTGGTTACCCTTTTGCAACATAAATATAAAGGAGAGGAGAAGGAAAGAGAAGAAGGTGGATTCCATTAGCCACAGTAGACAGGTTCAGTGCATTTCTTTTGATCCATTAACCATGGAAATGGAGTCGGTTTATTCCTCATGGTAGCCCATCATCTTCTAGACTTAGTGCCACACGCTGTTGAGAAAGACAAAGTATTTGACTTTGATAAAAATGAATTGGAAATTTCATTACGTGGCAACGGTGAACATATTATAGCTAAGATCTATAAAATGTTATTGAAATTGAATTTGGGAAATGAACATGTAAAACATTGTATGATTCAGTGAGCAAGGAATTTTGGATATAATGTGATGCTTGAACATTGGGAAAATATGTGGATGAAGGGTTTAAAATTTACATTAAATTATAATATAAAAGAAAATTTCTATAAGATGATGTATCGTTGGTATTTAACACCAGATAAGTTATCTAAGATGTATAAAGGCATGTCAAATGAGTGTTGGAAGTGTGAAAGTAAAGAAGGGACTTTTTATCATCTATGGTGGACATGTGATAAAGCAAAAAAAATGTTGGAGTATGATTCATATTTTAATATGGATTAAAAAATGAAATGGAGATTAAAAACAAAACCAGAACTTTTCCTTTTGGGCCTAATGGAAAAAGCTGAAGAAAAAAATTGGAACTTTATTACTACAAATGTTGACAGCATCAAGACTATTGTATGCACAAAAATGGAAGGACACTTTGATTCCTACTATGGATGAAGTGGCAGAAGTTGGCTGAAATGGTAAAACTGACCACTTTGATTAAAGAAAAGAACATCAGTACTTTTGTTTCCACATGGTCACCGCTTCTGAACTTTGTGCTTGATGTGGAAAAGAATGAAACTCTGACTTTTGGGTTTTACATATTAGACTGATAGATCTTTATAGAAATGACTTGCTCATACTATTATGGAAAAGCTGTGATTTCATATTAATGCCTTATTTTACTGTAACAGAGAGACTCGGAAGTCAATGCTTCTTTTTCTCCCCCCTTATCTTTCCTTACTTTTCTTCCCCCTTTCCCCGCCCCATCACTGCTCTTCTAGTTACTTTTGTATTTTGTATTTTATAATACTGTATAACTCAATAAAAATGTTTAAATGTAAGATATTTAAGCATTTTGAGATAAGCCAGACAGATTTGAGAGGATGCCCCTTCCATGCAATGATCATATTTTCCACTACTACAGTAGTGGCCAAAATTGTGGAAACTTTTTGGGAAAAGTGTATTTTTGAGGTTTGATGGCTAATAACATCACTTTTTTTTGGAGTTTCAAGATAATCATATTCCACTGCTGGAACGGCCTGGGAATAGCCCAGACCTTAATCCAATTGAAAATCTATGGAGCCGACTAAAGAAACTTGTTAGTCAGAAGCGACCCAGCAATAAAACCCAGTGACCAGTAATAGAAGCAATCATTCAATCTTGGTTTCACATTATAACAGCTGCAGAACTAAAAGACTTGGTTCACTCTATAGGAACACGTTGTAAGGCTGTCATGCTAAAGGTTACCCAACTAATCTTTCCATTGATATATAATTTTATGGTACTACTCCAAAAAAAAGTGGTGTTATTAGCTAGTTTTAGAAAATACTTTTCCCAAAAGGTTTCCACAATTTTGGCCACTACTGTATACCATGCCCCAGAAAGGAGTATGCCTCTCTAAAATACATTGGCAAAGACATTTAAGCTTATTGTCTATTTATCCCTACACCATTAGCAGTACCCATCTGAATGGCACCTCTCCTTCCTTTGTATAAGAAGATAAATGTGTAAACTACTTTGTTGTACACTGAGATAGTTTGCTTTGGGAGAAAAGGAGAGACATGCAACCTTATACTGAACCTGATTCAAGGAGTGTTCAGCCATAAAAATAAGATTAAGTGCTTATTTATTAAAGTTATATATCTCAAGTTTCAATGTATTGCTTGACAATGATTTTGTCAAGCACCAGGGAAATCAGGAGATCCAGGCAGTTCGAATGGGTATAAAGTTTTATTGCAAGGTTAAGCTTTCTACAAGAATCTGAACTCCTAACAGCCAAAGAAAATTGGTGGCAAATAAGGGTAGAAGGAATTCAAGGTGGGCTGGACTTGCTTGTGGGTATGTAGGGACTCATGACTGATGATGCGTTTGACCCTTCCCTTGGGCTCAGCCTGATCATCTCCTACATATTTATAGCAAAACATCCACAATAACAAACACTAAATACTACAGTAGCAGGACTCAAATGAATACAGTGGACAGTGTAGTAGACAGTGGATAAAGCATTTACTTACTGCTGGGTATACGTGACCAATCTGTACTGTTCGCCCAATATGGATTTCATCCTCATCTTCTTCTTCCGTAGTCTTCCTGTACACAGGATTATCAAAATTCATGCTTTTTGTATTTTTCCTCTTCCAGTTTCGCCAGATGAGATACCCACCTGTGCATAGTAAACCGATCACCACTAGAACAAAAAAGGATAGGGGAATTGGAGAAAAAAATAAAAAGTATTAGCTGTCTCAGAAAGGCCATCATATTTCAACTGGCTCACCCATGGATTCAAGGTGTTGGTCACCACCTTTAAAGCGCTCCATGGCATAGGACCCGGGTACCTCAGAGACCGACTTCTGCCACCAATAGCCTCCCACCGGCCAGTTCGCTCTCACAGAGAGGGTCTCCTCAGGGTGCCATTGGCCAAGTTATGTCGGCTGGCGACACCCAGGGGGAGGGCCTTCTCTGTGGGAGCCCCAGCCCTGTGGAATGAACTGCCCCCGGAAATGCGTAAGATCTCCGACCTCCAGGTATTTCACTGTGCACTCAAGACCCTGTTGTTCCGTCAGGCCGGCTATCAACATAATAATTTTAAATTGGATGTTTAAAATTTCTGGGGTTTTAAATTGAGCCGAATTATTTAATAATTTTAAATTATTTTAATTGATGTTTGTCTTGTGCTTTTAATAGGCTGTACACCGCCCTGAGTCCTTTGGGAGAAGGGCGGTATAGAAATAAAATTATTTATCTATCTATCTATCTATCTATCTATCTATCTATCTATCTATCTATCTATCTATCTCTCTTCTGAGTTTGTTATGATAGGCCAGGATAGCAAAACCAAAACGAATGGCAAGATAGCAAACACTTACTTACCAATAGGAACAACAATTCCGATAATGGCTGCCATCACAGTTGAGCCAAAAGCCTGGCCATTGTTGGCATCTGCAATTAGAGAAGAACAACTCAGATTCCTATAAAGGACAACTATAAGGACGGCAGCAGTTGCCAAGTTCCACATAGGTGGAAAATTCAAAAAGCACAGATTTCAGAAAAGCAATTTTAATGCTAATCCAGGAAGTGAAAACTGTAAGGCAGTTTTTCCAGGTAACCAAATGAAGGCAGAGTCTCTGAAATGCTTTCTAAACCTAACATTCTAGTTGTCACATGTAAGCTGAGTTCCCTCTTTTTACATGTGTGATGTGTGTGTGTGTGTGTGTGTGTGTAGGGGGAGAGGGAGGGAGGGAGAGAGAGGGAGGGAGGGAGAGAGGGAGGGAGAGCCAGAGAGAGAGAGCCTAGTATAAGAAATCCTGAAAGTTCACATACTCAGTTGTGTGTGCATAAAATTTAGGCATTGGATTTTTAGACCAACAATGTGTGTCTGGATTTTCACCCTCAACTGGTGAGAGTATATGTAAACATATTACCAAATCTATGGATTTGGTATTCCTGAAACACTTTTAGGTACACTGAAGAAATTTCTTCCAAAAAGCCCCAAACTAGATTATGGCAACATGTAGAAACTTAAGTTTTTGTGTAAGAGAGAACTTTCAGATGCTGGGCCTAACGCTTTGGAAGTAGACTGGTCATCAAAAAGGAACAGCATTTTTATATTAAACAAAAGAAAAGTACGAGAAAAATCCTCTACTTTCTTTTCACAAAGAAATGCAGTGCCAACTCAAGCTATTTGGGGAGCAGATAGAAATTTGTGTTTGTTTATTTACTTTAAAATTGTATGTCAGTCCAAATTTTTACCACTTAGTTAGTTATAGGCCACTTCACTCACAGTGCTGGAAGAGATTGCTATTTCCTGTTGCTATTTTACTATCAGCTGGGCTGGATGTCACTGTGATTGAATGAAGGCTTGTCACGCTGAGAAAGACTTGTGCTGTAGTTTCTGATCCTTCCGTACTAACATTGTCAGTTGTAGTAGTCACACTGTCAGCAGTAATAGCCGTAAAGTTCAGAAGGTAACTTCTTGATGTGGTAGGAGTAGCAGCAGTAGTAGGCAATTCAGTTGAGGTAGCTGGAAGTTCTGAAATCATTATTAAGTACAGCTTTATTTATACATTTATTTTGTCCAATGTATATGGATGCCTATCTCCCTGTGGTGACTTTGGGAGGCCGACAGAAGGCAGGATAACCTCCCACAAGGTGGTGCCTTCCCATTGCACTGGACTATATTTCCCTTCTCTTTACTTCTTCATAGTAGAACACAGTGCAGCTTCAGTTAGTGGAAAAAGCAAACCAATATAAAATAGTTTAAAGAGGCTTAAATGAAAGGAGTTTCCCAACCCCATTTTCTACAGGTAGCCCTTGAGTTATGGCTGTAATGGAGCCTGCCCGTAAGTCAATTTTACAAAAATTTATTGCAATGGTTAAGTAAATGCGGGGATTATTAAGTGAATCCATTGTTCCCTGTTTGTTTATTTATACCCTGCCTTTATTATTTTTTACAAATAACTCAAGGTGGTGAAGATATCCAACAAACCTTCCTCCTCCTATTTTCCCCACAACAACAATTCTGTGAGGTGAGTTGGGCTGAGAGAGAGTGATTGGCCCAAAGTCACCCAGGAGCTTTTCATGGCAAAGGTGGAACTTAAAGTCACAATCTCTTGCTTTCTAGCTTTAACCACTACACCAAACTGGCTCCTTATGGTGCACTGGTGCACTCTGGTGCGGTTTTACCAATTTTCTGGTGAAAATTGGAAGTAAGTGCTGGTTTTTATCAAAGCTGTTGTAAAAAATGATGTGAGACGCTGCAAACAGCCATAAATGTGGCTGTGTTGCTGAGCGACTGAAGCACGGACATATGATGGTGGGAAGTGAGGGGCGGTGACTGTTGAAACTTCAGATCCAGGTCAAAAATCCCCTTTTTCAAGTAGGTCATAACTTTCAACAGTCACTAAACAACTAGTTGTAAGTGGAAGAGTATCTGTATATATCTTACAGGTTTAAGCTTCAATCTTTTAAAAAAAGAATGACTGAGAGGGAAAGAGTGATAGGAGAGACCATGATACAGACGTAGTGTAGAACAGAACAATTGAGTGAATTCCCAATGGTTGGATCTAATGTTAAGTACAGCCATAAATCAGGAGTCCAACAGGAGTATCTAGTTCCTGGGAACAAAGTTCCTCTCTAAACAGGATAGAAGGTTTATAAAGTACAGGCAGATATTTTTACCTTTATAACACTTTTTCATATCAGGGCCTAACCACATATTGTCTGGACAAGCACATGTATATTTGGGTGAGTGTGGAGAGTTTTGTGGTGCAGGGAGACACAGGTATTCACACCCTCCATTTGGCAGAGAATGAAGTTCACAAACATCTGGGGCTACATATAGGAAAAAGAAATAAGAAATAAGTCTGAGGATTTTATTTATTTATATTTATATTTTATTTACCTATCATATTAAGCCACCCATCTCCTTCACAGATGATCTTATTGATATGGCAGTAATATTTTTATTGATTTACTTTTTTGTAAGGCTATGAATTATAGAAATAGTTCTACACACACAAACATTCAATTGTGTTTACCCCACTGCAATTGCTATCATTATGGGGTAGAGATGCATCAAACACCCATCAATCTTGTTTTACAAAGTACCACTTCCATCTAGGAAAACTACATTGTATTTTCTCATATATGATGAACAATATGTCCATACCATTACTTAGGCAAATAGCAAGAAACCAAATGACTACTTTAAGTACCAGAAAAATACTAGAATATCTCAGTTTTAAAAATCCGCCAAGTCCGCGATCATCAGAGGCTTTTTAAAAAAACTTTTAAAAGCATTTTTTCGACTGAAGAAAAAATGCTTTTAAAAGTTAAAAAAAAAAGCCTCTGATGATCACGTGGCTCAGCTGGGCATGGGGGGGGAGGGATTTTTGCTACTGGTTCTCCGATCCACCTGCTGCCATCGCTACCAGATCGGGCGATCCGGTCCGAATCGGGAGCATTTCACCCCTGTACTAATCCCATCATCTAGATAGCACAGCCAAATTGGCTGTGGGTAATATATATCATTGACCTGTCACATGAAAGAAATCAGTTCAGGGAAGGTCAATCTAATTACACTACAAAGTCCTAATATTGTAAAACAGCATATTGCTATAATTACAGAAAGATTTTGTGGGTGAGAGGCATATGAAGATTGCAGTTTTGAGGGTCTAAGGGCACCATCAAGACTGTTACAATTGGGTAGATCTCACCATTTTCTTGAATGGCTGAATAACAAGATTTGCTAGTTATCTCCTTTTAGCTAACCAGGGTCAATATTTTTTCACAATTTTGTAATCTAGTTACCAACCATGAAATCTAAGATATCCACTAGGTATTTCATATTCCATAGGTATTTGGACCTATGAAAAGGTGCTTTGGGTCTGGCATGAGTGTGCTAACGGTTCTTATCAACAGTACCTTAAAGAAGTTTCCCCTTTTCCTGGGGCCATATAGTAGCTGTGCAATCTCAGGAAAATATTTTGAATTCAGGAGGCGTATCAGAACTGGTCCCAGCTCTAGAATCATCCAGTAAGACAGTTCCCTCCTTCTACTGGTACAGCAATTTCCTCACGAAAGAGCCATTAATGCAACAATTTATTTATTTATTTATTTATTGGACTACTGCAATGCTCTCTACATGGGGCTCCCCTTGAAGAGCACCCGGAGGCTCCAACTGGTCCAGAATGCGGCTGCGCGGGTAGTCACGGGAGCCGCATGGCGCTCCCATACAACACCTCTCCTGCGTGAGCTGCACTGGCTCCCAGTGGTCTTCCGGGTGTGCTTCAAGGTGTTGGTTATCACCTTTAAAGCGCTCCATGGCATAGGACCTAGTTATCTTTGAGACCGCCTGCTGCTACCAACGGCCTCCCATCGACCTGTGCGCTCCCACAGAGAGGGCCTCCTCGGGGTGCCATCAGCCAAACAATGTAGGCTGGTGACCCCCAGGGGGACGGCCTTCTCTGTGGGGGCTCCTACCCTCTGGAATCAGCTGCCCCCAGAGATAAGGAGAATCCAAGACCTTGGTGCCTTCCATCGTGCCCTTAAAACCTTCTTTTTCCAGCAAGCCGGGCTGGCCTAACACTTTTTAAAATGTTTTTAATTGTTTGTTATTGTTTTTAATCATGGGGCCAAATTTATATATATCTTTTTAATTGTATTTTAATGTTTGTAGTTTATGCTTTTACTTGGCTGTTCACTGCCCTGAGTCCTCAGGGAGAAGGGTGGTATACAAATTTAAAAATAAATAAATAAATAAATAAAATCCAGTGAACTGTAAGCAGTACCATATACACCAGCCTTCTTCCAAAATCACCTACTATATATGTTGTCCCAAAGTTGCTTTTTCAAGAGGCAACTGGACTTTCTGGGTTTTTTTTTTGAAGACGTTTTGCTTCTCATCCAAGAAGCTTCTTCAGTTCTGAACGAGCTGAATCGATGAGTTGAATTCTTGGATGAGAAGCGAAACGCCTTCAGAGAAAAACCAGAAAGTCCAGTTGCCACTTGAAAAAGCACCTTTGGGACAACCATGACCTGGATGACTGAGAATCGCCATAGACATTTACTATATATGTTGAAATACAAATCCCATCACTCACCAACCATAATGTCATATAGCCATACTGGCCAGGAAATGACAGGACCTACAATCTACCACCAAATCTAGAGGGACCCATAAAGAGAAAGCTGAGAAAAAGCACACCTCACCTTTGGGTTGCTTTAGTTCATGAAAAACTACAATGTCATGAGGATTATTGAGGTTCTCTGCCAAAATAGAAATGTCTAGACCATTCAGCCTGTTAGCACTGAAGATTGCCTCATTCTCTAAGTCAGTCCAGAATACCCTGTCCTGCAACAATGGAGAGAAAGAGAGAAAGACTCAGACTGTATTAAATACCAGCTGGAACTTTTCAAGCATTGCTTCCCTACGAATCAATCTCCTTGGCATTTTGTTTTTCATAAAGAAGTCGTGCACAATTCTTTCCAGGGTCATAGAGAACAGACAAGTGGGCAGTTCACTACTGTCAGCCGCTTCACAGAGGGATTGATCTGCACGGCCCCCCTAATGTGTTTTTCTCCCCCAAAGCTTGCGTGTGAGTTATGTGATCTTCTCCATGGAGATTCTGATCTATGCGATAGTAATTTAAGTTGGTATTTGGCTTTAAAAGTCATTAAGTGAAAAAGTGGCTCCACAAAACAAGCAAGCAAACAAATATCATTAGATGTTACAATATAAGTGCTCTTTAAAATCATGTTTGTGTGATTTTTCACGTTTTTGCCAGTGGAGGAAGAAAGTATACAGGGAGAAAAGCAACACTGCAAAGTAGAGGAAATTTCGCTACTTCTTTCCCTTCCTCTCTCATCTACATAACATGCTATCTTGCTGATCTAAGAAGATGCATTCATGTAAGGCAACTCTGTGAATGTGTCACCTGTTGAACTGAATAAAAAATTTAATGCATTCAAGTACACCCCCTCTGGTGTTTAAACTGCCTCCCACTGAAAGCAACAAAGCCAAGAAGGTCAGGATCAGCAACTAAATAGATATCCAATTCAGGCCCATAATTCCATAATGTATTTTTTTTACCTCAAACACGGCCAGTCCAAATGGGTGGCTCAGGTTGTCCACAGAAGAGATAAGAACTTTCCGATTGCTCCCACTGAAATCTATACTTGAAAGCAAGTGCAACTTAGAATCAACCCAGTAGAGACGTTGATTCAGCAAATCTGAAGAGCAAACATATCAAAGGTAGGATTATATCTCTGTGTTTGATTTTTGTCCATGTGTATGCATTTTTGCTATTTTTTTTTTACTACTGGAGAACTCAGTCATTTTATGAAAACAATTCAGGGAGAAGAAGAAAGGAATGTTAGTTAAGAACGACAGATAATATATTTTTAATATGATCACAGTGTATGATCACAGTGTATGGTCACTGGAGCAATCATGAAGTGAGACTCTCTTCCAGGAAGAATATTTCCTGTGCTTGTTTTCAGCATAGATTCAGAGTCACTGCAGAGATGCTAAATAGATGCACAAAGAAGATATCTGAGAAGCCACAGTAATAGTCCAACCACTTGAGTTCTCCATGAACACTAATATTAGCAGTTGGTGTTCTTTTTCTAAATAATTACATTAACTTGTAGAAGTAGGGGATCAGTTCTTTCTATAATTAACTTGAGAAGATAATGCGTGGGATTAACATACCACCTTATTTGCAGACCTGGTTCCAATAGCAATCAAAACATTTCAGATGAATGAATAATCTCTCCCTTTTTTTTAATTGAAAGTGGAGGGGTCAGTAGCATTCACAGGATCTTGCTGTTGTTATTATTAACATTTGCATGCAGCCTGACTCCGAGCAATGCTGGGATGATAATGAAAATAAAAGCTTTGTAGTGTGACACACCTCAGTGTGTTGTCATGAGGCATGTATTAAAGGGGAGGCCTTGCATCGAAATGCTGATTTTGTCAGTCTGAACCCCCTCCTTCCTCCTTAATTGGTAGGAAATGTCAAATTATGCAAGGAAAGAAAGCTAGGAGAGTATATTTTCCCTTCCCCTCCCCCTATCTCAAAAGCTATATTCCTCTTTCAAAGCAGGGAAACCAGTAAGAGGGCAAATAGCAGGGAAGTAATTTTCACTGAAAAATGGCAGAGATTGTGTTTGTCTCTCATTCTTTTCTGGTCCCAATAACAGAATTAAATCTTTTTTTCAGTTAAAAGAAGAAGAAACAATTTAGAATTAAAAAAAAAACACCCCAAGATTGTAGGAAGGGACAAAGGGCTGTAGAACAGTATATCTCTTGTAGGCAAAAGGAGCTACCTTCAAATTCAGGCAGTCGTGTGTAGGGCTATGGTGAATTGCTACTAAACAGTATAAACAAAACGAAGCTGGATTAATCAATGCTCAGACTCAATATGAAAAAACCATACTTTATTTGTAGATTACAATATTTTGAAAATTTAGAATGACCTGGTTCGAGTTTTCCAACATACCCAGTGTGATTCCATTGGGCCATTCAATGTTGTCTGTCACGAGCACTTGCCGATCCATACCGTTCAAGCCAGATTTCTCAATTTTTGCTATGTCTCCCCAGTCAGACCAATACATGTATCTACAAAAAAAGAATAGACAAAGAAGATGGTAGAAGACTCTATGCTACTTGAAAAGTAGTTTTCCTTCAGATTTCCAAGTACAATATTGTTTGAAGTAACTGCGTAATTGCTTCATTGAACAAGAATGTACCAAGGTGATCAAATTCTGTAAATACTATATTTAACTTTTACTAAGAAAGAACATCCATCAGGTGGTTCTTATGAATTCCAATGCCTTGGTTATTGCGGAAGCAGAAAATCCACAGTGGCCACAATGATTGGCCAACATCACAATCTTATCATTTCATGTGTTTCAGGCTACAAGTCTGAGTTAGAATAAATACACCTAAGAATAGGAATCCATATTATATAGCATTTTTATTAATTTTTTGCAGCTCCATCACAATCGAACTGGAATAGCCCAATTTGAATTCTGAAAGTAGAAAGGATACAAAAGCACTTCTGATGCAGTAGGAATATACAATAAGCAGTAGAACAAATAATATGCATTTTGTTGGTATTATCTCACTTTAAAATCATAGTCTACAAAAACTTTGATTGCTAATGTACCGTCCGCAAAATAAACTCTAATTATACTGATTGCTGTGGTGTGAGAACAGTAAGAATCAAGAATAGTAAATTCAGTAATACATAGCAGAGTAATCTTTCATACCTACCCCCGTATGGGATCCACCGCAATAGCTCTGGGTTCACTTAAGTTAGTACTGAAAAGTGTCCTCTTCTTATGCCCATCAGCTGTGGCTACAGAAATGGTCTTGTTTCCTGAATCCGTCCAATAAATGTTCTTGTGGACCCAATCCATTGCCAGACCTTCCGGGGAGTGTAACTGGCTGTCTATCAGAACCATCTGCTCAGCTGTGTCACTGGCCTTATCTATGTAGGCACTATAGAGAGGAGACTCAAATTATTCATGTAACTCTGCAAAGGGCAAAGGGGAGGGGGGGATAATTGTATAAGAAAGGATGCCCTCACAAGGAGGTAAAGCAAACAAAATGAGGAGCAAACAAGGCATAAAATCCTACATTAATTTTCTGACAAGAGTGCTCTGCATATTTATATATCCCTGTTCCAAATAGTGCAATAAGCAAAACCAGATTTAGCAGTGCAATTTAACTGTAGTAAAAACATACTGTTTCTTTTGTGGATCTTGATGTCTATTACTATTACATCATAGAAACTTCAGAAGTGCAAAGTCTGTTCTGTGCGCAGGCTTTCAATCAGGTTCAAAATAATGCAGGTAGTCTATAGGACCTAACATTTTGTTTAGATGTTTGCAAGAGTGGGGTAACAAAAACGTGTTACTGTCTAAGGATGGGCTAATCAGGCTCTGCTCCCCTTGCATAATTGTTACCCACATCATGAAGAATAGGTTAACAAGGCTTAAGTCATGTCGATGCATAGGTATAGGATGGGGATTATGTGCCTTGGCAATACTTGTGAAAAAGAGGCTCAAATTATGATTGCTAAGTGAATATGAATTGGCAGCGTGAGATGGCCGCAACACAGGCAAATGAAAGTATAGGTGACAGAATAGAATTATAGTTTCCAACTCATGAGAAATTAAATTCCATTCAATTTTGCTTTGGTCAATCTCCCATCTCAAGTATGGTGTCCAGTTCTGGGCATTACACTTAAGGAAGGGTTCAGAAGAACTGAACTAAACTGAACTGAACAAAGTTCAAAGAAAAAAGTAAGGATAATTAGGGAGTTATAGACTAAGTCCTACAAAAAGGATAAATTTAGAGAAGAGAAAGAGTGAGAGGGACTTGCAACAGGGACTTTCCTATACCTGTGACGCAGAAGAAAGCCAAGATTCTGTTGTTTCAGATTGCAAGATGCAAAATAATAAATTATATAAAGGCAAATTCTAGTTGAATGCTAAGAACAGCTTAATGAAAAGAGCAGTTGGACAATGGAACTAATTATCCTGAAAGATAATAGACTCCTTGGTTTAAGGATGGCCTGAACAATCATCTATCAGGCAGGGTTTTAATTTAGGTTCATTGCCTGCACACTCCCTTCCAATAATATATATTCCATGAAAAAGCTCACTCTTCACATTTAATGTATGTATGTATATGTGTGTGTGTGTGTATGTATGTATTTTTTAAATATCAGTACTGATAAGTGTCAAAAGTACAGAATTAGTCTGAATGTAAATATCAAACACAGTACTTGTACATTTGATGACAATATCTTGATCTGGCCAACTAATTCAGTAAACTAAACCAATTCACCTTTTTTGTATGGTCAACATTGTCCATTTTTATCAGGTCCGCCTGATTCGCCAGTTGCGTCCCTTTCTGGATCGGGACTCGTTACGCACGGTCACTCATGCCCTCGTCACCTCCCGCCTGGACTATTGTAATGCTCTCTACATGGGGCTCCCCTTGAGGAGCACCCGGAGGCTCCAACTGGCGCAGAGTGCGGCCACGCGGGTGGTAATGGGAGCAACATGGCGCTCCCATGTAACACCTCTCCTGCGCGAGCTGCACTGGCTCCCGGTGGTCTTCCGGGTGCGCTTCAAGGTTTTGGTTACCACCTTTAAAGCGCTCCATGGCTTAGGGCCTGGTTATTTACGGGACCGCCTACTACCACCAATAGCCTCCCACCGGCCAGTACGCTCTCATAGAGAGGGACTCCTCCGGGTGCCGTCAGCCAAACAGTGTCGACTGGCGGCCCCTAGGGGGAGAGCCTTCTCTGTGGGGGCACCTACCATCTGGAATGAGCTCCCCCCGGAGATACGGAGGATCCCGGATCTGCGCTCCTTCCGCCGTGCTGTGAAGACCTTTTTATTCCATCAAGCGGGCTTGGCCTGATCTCTTCCCTTTTTAAATACGTAAATTTTAATCTGTTTTTAAATTATTGGGGTATTTTAATTTGTCTGGGCCAAATAATTTAATTTGATTTTATCGGGTTTTTAAATTTTGTGTATTTATGTATTTTATTGTTGGCTGTTCACTGCCCTGAGTCCTTCGGGAGTAGGGCGGTATACAAATCAAATAAACAAAACAAACAAAACAAACAAAACAAAACATTGTCTCTGCTGTGCAAAAAAATTAAGTCCAGTATTTGCCAGGAAAACAGTAGGCCACATAAGGTTCAGATCCTAAGTCATCTGAAATTACCCTTCTATTGATTGTAAAGGTCCTCTTTATCTTCCTGATCTTGGATTGGCTGCTTTTCAGATCAGCAGAAAGCGATTTTTGGTTTGTGGATCAACAGCTAAGTAATGTGATTTGAAAATGTTTCCTCAGAACTAGGTACAATAGAATTCTATTGAATTGATTCCCTGTAATACCAAAGGATGCATTCTAAGTTGATTTATTTTATGGGGAATCTGGAAAACAATGTAAATTTTCTCCCTGTGACATTCACCACAGAATAATTCTTCAATGGGAAAAAAGTGGAGTAAATGCAAGGCCAAGGTGCAGATCACTTTGTAGATGCACAGATAACGAACTGAGAAAGAGTGAAATACTTCTGAAAAGGAAATAGCGGATGTGAAGACACTGCTGGGATATTCTTGCTCTTCTCCTCAGTGTCCTTAAGAATACTGAGGAATGAAAATGCAAGAAGAAAGATATTGTGAGGAAAAGGAGGAGTTCTTACAGTTCCATTAAATATTTTGATCTTTATTACAAGTTTGAGAATAAGAATAAGAAGGGGCAACGATAAAATGTGCATGCTAATGGAAACTCTGCCCCATTTTTCATTGTGTCATAACGTAACACACACAAGTTTCATCAACTTGACAAACGCTTTTGCTTCTTTGGCTGTGACTAGCTTCCATTTATTCAGTGCTTGATTCCCTTCTGGCTCTTAAGAGGTTTAACACTGCTTCTCAGCTATAAACAATCTCTAGTACTTTTCATTTGTCCAAAGCTTTTCAGTATTTCTGAGAATGCAGTAGGTGGCACCCTTCTCTTCCTAACTAAGACAGTGACATTTTGCATGTGAATAAGCGTGTGTAAGAGTGTCTGGCGTGGATGCAAATGAGTGCAGGACCATGTGTAAGAGCGCACAGTGTGGATACAGCTAACGTGGTTTAATTTGTTCTTAATTGAAACAAGAATGAATGTTTTTCTGGTATGGTCATTCAACTTAAAGCCCTCTCTTTCCCATTATGTCCTGAGTGGGAAATTCTAAATATAATGGCTTGCAAATCAAGGTCACACCGATTTTCAGGAAGAGGTTCCAGTAAAATACAATTTCCTAATTTATTTTAGAAAGCCAGTGAGAATTGCATTCAGACCAGAGATGGACAAAGCTCCTCATTGTAAGGACTCTCTTCCAGCTGGTGAGCATTTTTTTTTCAGTAGAGATCCTACCTACAGTAATTCTCCTCTCTCCTTTTCTTGCCCATGGACTAAATCAGAGACAGACGTTTTCCCTTCTGATTCAATTTTCACACAAGTACACAAATTGGCCCTGGTTATTCTTATTTTTTAAAATAACTGCCTACTGTACCAGAGCTCAAAGTCTCAAGACAAACCTGTCACAGTTAGCAGCGATGAAGAAAATAACAGAAGCTCAAATCTTAAACCTGACAGATTTTTGCTATCAGCAAGCTGTAGGAGAAGTGCCACATTAAATAATGCTCAGATACGTATGGGCAGACCCTGTTTTTCTCCATTTTCCAAGGCTCAAACAAACTTACCAAAATATTTTCTCTCATTTTCTGCTTACTTCGCTTTTTCAAGAGTTGATGAATTCCTACCTAGCTGCTTGATTGTAATCAACAGGTGATGACCTTAAAAAACAAAGTAAAACCTTAACTTCTTCTATAACAGTTTCCCAATGTTAGCAACTTTAAGACATGTGGACTTCAACTCCCAGAATTCCCCAGCCAACACAGGGAATGGCTAGCTGAAGAATTTTGGGAGTTGAAGTCCACATGTCTTAAAGTTGCTAAGGTTGGGAAATCCTGCTCTATAATAAGTTCCTGATCTTTGGAATCACCTTTCCTAGAATTTGGTCCTCGGAAAACTCATCTTTGATGGTTACTCAAAACCAGAAAGAACCATTCCTGACAACACAGCGAGGATGGGTGGGTAGGGATAGCAATTTAGACCTGAGTGCAGAAAAGGGACAATCAGCTTTGTTGCACAAAGTCAAGGTTAATCTACTCCTAATCAGGTACAGTATTGTTTTGGCACATGCATCAGGACAGTAGGCTCCAAAGTTGCACACTTTCAGCAGACATAGTTCTGATGCCACTAAGCCAGAGGTGGGCAACTAAGTCTCCTTTATGACCAGTGAACTTCAACTCCCAGAATTCCTGACCCAGCCAGGATATCAGGAAGTTGAAGTTCTCAGGTCATAAAGGGGCCATAGTTGCCCACCCCTGCACTAAGCTATCATAGATCTGAGCTTGATTTTCTTGCTGGAAAGATGGAGGGCGAATAGGGCAGTCAGAGATATCCCGCACCTGTATATCTTCCTGTAGAATAAATCACACCAGTATATCCTGTTTGTTGCCACTTCCACATCCAAAGCAACCACATTCTTCAGCATAGGAATGATGCGAGAGTAATCCTTTTTCACCAGGTCAATCTTGCGTACTTCGTGGCGGTTTGTGAAAACAAGGTATGGGCTCTTTCCTGCCAAGGAATCCGCAAATCATAGCTTTATAAGCAATTTAGGATATAGCATAGCTTTTAAAAAGCGAGTTTTGGAAAAATCCCAAAACTACTTTTAGCATAAAAAGGATTGGCAGTGGCTGTAGTCCTGATCATCAGTTCCTGGGCACACTGCTCTAATTGACTAGCGATTTACACCTTCTTTCTTCCCCATTGGGAGAACAAAAGAGTCACTCCCACAACTGTACACTGGAGAGGAAGAAAGTTGAGGATATTCAGCACATATGTATCTTTTTAAACAGACCGATGTATAAACATAAATATATGAAAATGGCAAATATATCTTTCTCCTATAAATTACATTTTTTTAATGGCTAGCTCACTTTGATTCAGATCAGATTAGAAGCATTCTCCTTTGGCACTTCTCCAAAGAGAGAGGTTCTGAAATCCAGCTTTCACAATTGGCATGAAATGCCTGCTATGCTCCTTAAAATACTTATTTTTTTTAAAAAAAAAGAGAAGTAAATTCTTATAAGGATTTTATTGTTCATGAGATAGATTCCAGAGGTAATTTTTAGTTTACTTTATTGTCATTGCACCTCGCGCAATGAAATAAAATAAAATAAAATAAAATTTGCCCCCATGATGGTTTAAGCCCTGTCCAATATTAAACAGATAAAGAAGAAAATACCCATAACCAAAATTAAAAGATAAAAGAAACTAAGTCTGCCACTCCCAACCCTACTTGTTTCTTTTCCTGCTCTTTCCATTCTGTCATTTTGTGAAGAGCAATAACATAAAAAAAGCAGAGTTGAAGGCATAATGGATGTTGTCTGCAGCACAGAAAAGTACCAAAGTTTTTTTTTTGCCTTGGTGATTTAAATGAGGAACAGGAATATGCGTGTTGTGGAAGGAGTGAAACTTCATGAGTTCTTCTGGGTCTTGGGAAAAAAAACCTATGACATTCTGGATTGGGCACAGAAGGCACTATGTTATTATTAACCCAGTCCTTTTCTGAATCACTGTATCAGAAAATTCTAGTTTTTGTCCACCTTTAAAATGTTGTGATTTTTCTTCTTTTTTATATTTAGTCAACTAAAAAAGAAAAGAAAAAAAAAAGATAATAGCAAAAGGAAGTTTTAAAAAAACGATCAAAAAATGATGCTACAAGATCTCCAGGGAAATGAAGTGATGCTGCAAAGTTCCATATTGTCCCCTGTGCTTTTAACTGCTATATGAAAACAGGGGAAGTTATCCAGAAGGTTGGACTCAAATGTCAAAATGCAGGTGGTATTCATCCCAGGAAGCTGTGGAATTTTCGAGATCGATGGGGATGAACCAGCCAAGGCTTAAACTCGATAAAGTACAGTTACTATATAGGCAGGGAAGATGGACATTTATAAATTGTTGATGAAATTGTGTGATTTTCCACAGATCCACACCAAATGGAATCGAGCATCTTCTTACCTATGGCTTTGCAGTTTTTAGACAGGGTGTCCATCTCATAACCATCATAACATTCACATTTATAGTCTCCCTTGTAGTTAATGCAGATCTGGCTACAGGCATCTGGATTCTCACATTCATCTATATCTAGAAGGAGAGTTTAGAATAATTGGTAATTTGACATTAAGCCATCAGATCATGGGACATCTGCAAATGACACACTGCAAATCAGTCTGCAATGACACACTGGCTGCTTCTGTTTCTATGCAAATTACCTCCACACGTTTTCTTGTCCATAAGCTTGTATCCAGGAGGACATTCACATTCATAGCCAATCTTCAAGTCCTTGCAAATGTGGGAGCAACCACCATTGTTCAGGGCACATTCATTCACATCTAGAAGAGTGACATTATTTAGATTAAAACTGAATCCTGTGCATACGACTGACATTTTAACGTGTCGAATGGTTACAGATACCACTAAAAGGTTTATTTAAATAGACATGAAAACCTTTTTTTCCTCTTAAGACAACTTACTCATGCAATTTTGGTTTAATTTGTATCTGAACTTAAAGTGCTCATTTGTATTGTTTGCTTTCACTTCATAGGCACAAAATGGGACAAAGCGGGAGAAAGATGTTAAGTAATGAATGAGGTAAGTAAAAATCATCCAGTAGTTAACTCTATTCCCAAGCCCATGTTTAAGATCCTAAATGGGCAAACAGAATAATTTGGCAAGAATGTTCTTCTAATGGATTGGACTATATACAAAAGGTTGTACTATAAAATAAGCAAGCAATAAGAATCCAGAAATGTTAACTGCTTCTGGCTCAACTTTTTCCAACTGGATGTCTTCCAGATATATTAGGTTTCATTTTACTAGAATTTAGAGGCAGCATTGCCAACAGGAGGCAACTGTAGATATTCCTTCACATCTAGAAGTCATCACATTGGCAAAGGCTATTCTAGTAAGGGGTTAGATCAGAGGTCTTCAAACTTGGCAGCTTTAAGACTCCATAGCTGGCTGGAGAATTCTGGGAGTTGAAGTCCACAAGTCTTAAAGCTGCCAAGTTTGAAGACCTCTGGGTTAGATATTTGTTTAAAGAATCTGTTTTTATATATATACTAATCTATAAGAGACACAAAAAGTAGAATTGCAAACATGTGGTTAGATTAAAAAAACAACAACAAAGCTTCAAAGCATAATACATCGCCAGTCCAGGGTAATGCTGGGAGGAAGTTTGTATTTTTTCAAAAAACCCAGTGGATGCACCATTATAAAAAAAGAAAAAAAAATCAAAAAGGTGAATCTATCCTGGTTCTATTATCCCTTGATCCAGTGGTGAAATCCAATTTTTTTTACTACAGGTTCTGTGGGTGTGGCTTGGTGGGCATGGCAGGTGAAGGATAACGCAAAATCTCCATTCCCACTGCACTCCAGGGGAAGGATATTGCAAAATCTCCATTCCCACCCCACTCTGGGGCCAGCCAGAGGTGATATTTGCCGGTTCTCCAAACTGCTCAAAATTTCCGCTGCCAATTCTCCAGAACCTGTCAGAACCTGCTGGATTTCACCCCTCCCTTGATCTGACTATCTGAGACTTTCTTCCATCTTGCTCTTTGTTACTATGCTAAAGTTATAAATATAATAATGCTTCTTGAAAAGAAAAAAAAATCAACCCAGTGGAATCCACATGTCCATTCCTATCTATTGTTGAACAATACTAAGACCAAATGGTCCCCCCAACATTTGCAATATATTTAATTTGAATAAAAGAACATCCTTGCCTGTAATAATCATACACACACCTGGAAATTTGTATGGGCAGAGTCCTGATCATTAGTTCCCCAATGGCAGAAACTAAAATTGAAAATGCCATCCAATTTACCCTGGCTATTGTAAATTGCCAGAGGGGTCAAAGGAAGTCATTTCAATTCTTGAAACAACCATTCATTTGTCTTTCCAATTAACCTATCCAAAGTGAGGGACAAAATGTTTTTCTTTTATTGTGAGATTTGCTGTGCAATTAAATATCTAAGAAACTGGGTTACGAAGATTTGTTGGACTAGCCCAGGTATGTAACTCAGGAGAAAAACGGATGATGCAGTTCCTTCGATTCTTTCGTTTAATGGCAAAAGACATGAGGAAAAAAAAATTAACCGGTAGAATATGCTGCACTGGAAAAACGCCCACCACATTTTGTAGCAAATTCCCCAATTCTGAGCAAAAATTCACAATGTTATTAGCAGCGGTAGGTTTATTGCCAAGTTAAAAACATGGTGGTGCATTTGGGCTACTGCTCACAATTCAGATTGATCCTGTCCATAACTCTTGATTACACTGTGCACCACAAGCCAATTACGCCAAATGAGATTCTAACTCTTGAGACTATCTTCCATTTTATTTGGTATGTATATCTGTTTTACATTTCCATGCTACTTCATGCCAATGAATTCTAAGCAGCATACAGTAATAAATTATAGTTAAATACTGTAATCACATGGAAGATAAACTCAACAGTAAAGAAGTATAACTTTCAGACCAATTTTCTGGCATCGGACAGCCACGTCATTTTCTCTAGTCTAGAATGCCAAGTTTCCTAATTGTTTTACTACAACCCAGAGGGTGAATGGGCCATGTATTGAAAGTGTACTGTGTCTGTGAAAAGGCTGGTAGTGAGAAGCATATAGCTTCAGCAAATAATCTAGGTTCAGCAAATCACTCTATATTTTAAAGAAATGTATATTGCCCCAATAGATGCAATAGCTACATGAAACAGTCTGTGATTAGCATCAGTGGTAGGTTTCTACCGGTTTGGGCAAACTGGTAGCGGCGGAGGCTGGAGGCTCCACCCATCCGACTGGACGTCATCACGGACGCTCTGCGCATGAGTGAAGCAAGCCCACACACAGTTCTGAACTGGAAGTGAAGGTAAGTGAAACCCACTATTAATTAGCATGTCTCCAGGCAGCTGCCTTGAGGTAAATGGTTTCATTATCAAATGTATGCTTTTATCAAATTTCACTCCAACACTGGAAAAACTTAGTTTCCCTTAACATTTAAGACAACATTTCTGTGTTGTTGTGGTTTCCAGTAGCAAAATGGATATACTTGGCCTGGATGCTGTTTAGCTTCCCAGTCTATCTTGCAGAACTGTACCAGAATGTTGTGAGTTCTCCCATCCAAGTGTTAACCAGGCATGCCTCTGCTTAGCTTCTAATTCCAACCAATATCAGCAGGGAGACGCTGCTCCCTACTGATATTTCATTGAAAGGATTTCTGGTTTACTGCACAGGGATAAGAAGGAAGCACTGGAATTCCACCTCTGTCTCAGGTCCTTAGTCACAAAATTCCTTGAACAGCTGCCATTTCAAGTACACACCATTTTTTTTCTTCTTTCTACAGAAAACAGGCCCACAATATTTACCATTACATTTAAATTTAAAGTAGAAATTCAGTGTAGGGGGCAGGAGGAGGATTCCAGATAGGTTTGATACTATTATAGACAAGACCTCACTTCTAAAAGATGCCATATTTGCATTAGATGAAAAGACATGCACTTTAGAGTTCCAAAGAGGCTCATGGGCAAATAATTTAATACTAAGACCATAGTCTCCCATGTCAAAAGTAGTTCAATTTTTGAAATGCTCTCAAAGACAGCCCAACCACAGAGTTCAATGCAGTAGTTTAATCTAGAGGTTGCCTTGAAATTGTGATGTAAAACCAAGATCGCTCTGTTTCAAAGTACACTAAACTTGACAAAAAGAATTTGAGACCTCGGCCACTGGTTTTCCAGGATCAAGCTTTGTCTAGATTTAATTTCAACTTCTTCAAATTTATTCAGTCCAGACTGATCTATTTGAAAGAATATAAGCTTCCAAAAGATGTTGAGTTCTTCAACCACAACTGGCAAAGAACTGTGGATGATGGGAATTGTAGTCCTACAACTTTTGAAAGCACATAGGTTATGCACGTCTATACTAGGGTAGATCTCATAATTAGCCTAAAAAGTCGGTCATGCAACATGTGCACGCAATGTGGGCATACAATAAAAAGACATAAAATATAACCAAGGTACTGTATAATTTGATACATCTCTTCATTACTGATGCTATGGAAATCATAAGAACTTCTAAAATGCCACAAAATAACAGGCAATAAAACTCCAGCAGTATAAAAAGCTCCTGTGTCAAAATTCAAATGAATTAAATATATCCTCTTCAATTGACAACAGAAGCAAAAGAACAGGCTTAGATCCTTTTAATGATCAAGAGCGTATTACCACCGTATAAACCAAGGAATAATTTGTTTTAGCTCTTCATTACTGATGCTATGTAAATTATGAGGACCTCTAAAATGCCACAAAATAACAGGCAATAAAACTCCAGCAGTATAAACAGCTGCTGTGTTAAAATTCAGATGAATTAAATATATCCTCTTCAACTGAGAAGAGAACCAAAAGAACAGACTTAGATCTTTTTAATGATCAAGAACATATTAATCAGGGCCAACAGTTCCATTATATTCACATTGGCTAAAATGAATGTATTTCATCTTACAGGAAGGGGATCTTATACTTCTTATACAATAAAATAATGCATTTTATCAATTAATGACCCGGCATCAATAAAAAAGCCTGGGGAAAAATGTTGATAGGTATTATTTAGTTCAAGCTTCTTTAATTATGTAATTAGGAATCTGGTTTTTTAGAATAAGCCTCCAAATCATGTATACTCAAACGACATGCTTTAATGACTCTTCTCAGTATATTATTACTTGTGGTGTTTTTATTGACCCAGGATCAGATTGCCTATAGACAGAGACTTTGCATGGATAAATATAAGAAAATATGGGGTTCGTTTATAGCAAATTTAGTAGGTTAAAAAAAGGATGATAGTCATATACGTGTATTAGAAATACACACACACACAAAATGTAATGTTCCTTTTGTTTTTTGCTTTTTCTGTTATTTTAAAAGCAAAAACCTATTAAAAGCAATAAGATATTAAAATGTATTAACTTTATTAAAATTTATTAAAAATCCTTTTAATGAAGGAACTGCCTACGGAGTTTTCTTTCATGGAACAGTATCATCTGCAGCTTTTCCATGAATGTTACTTTTCTCCTTAGGAACATACTGGATCAACTCAAAATCCAATGATGGGAATTCCTACTAAAGGTGTGTTTTTCATGGCCCCATTCAAGCACTTATTTATTTATTATTTATTAATTTTATTTCTATACCGCCCTTCACCCGAAGGACTCAGGGCGGTGTACAGCCTGATTAAAAGCACAAAGACAGACAAAATTTAAAAATAATTAAAATTATTAAATGATAGGCTCAATTATAAAACCCCCAAATTTAAAATCTCATATTTAAAAACCAATTAAAATCTTTACATTGATAGCCCAGACTGGTGGAACAACAAGATTTTGAGGGCACAGCGAAATACACGGAGATCAGAGATTTTACGAATTTCTGAGGGCAGTTCATTCCAAAGGGCAGGGGCTCCCACAGAGAAGGCCCTCCCCCTGGGTGTCGCCAGCCGACATAATTTGGCCGATGGCACCCTGAGGAGACCCTCTTATGAAGAATGCCATCCTATTTCTTTTGATGTCAAACGCAGGTGGGTTTCCTGTTCCTGATGTCGATGTACATAGCTAAGGCCACATGATTGCTTATTAATATATCTGCCTCAGGGGTGAAATCTAAAATTTGTTACTACCGGTTCTGTGGGCGTGGCTTAGTGGGGGGTTGGGTAATGTGACTGGGTGGGCCTGGCCAATTTTTTTTTTTTTACTTTTAAAACCATTTTTTCTACAACCTCTTCGGCTAAGAGGTTGTAAAAAAATGTTTTCAAAAGGCTCTGAGGATCCAAGCTGAGTTCCCTGATCCTCTGCCGATCAGGGAACTCATCTTGGATCGTCAGAGCATTTAAAAGAAAACAAGGGGTTTTTTTCTTTTAAATGTCTTTGATGAGCCTCGCGATCATCAGAGGATTTTTTTTTTTTTACTTTTAAAAGCATTTTTTTGGCCGAAGTTGTAGAAAAAATGCTTTTAAAAGTAAAATAAAAGCCTCTGTTGATTGTGCGGCTCAGCTGGGCATGGGGGTGGGGGATTTTTGCTACCGGTTCTCCGAACCACCTGCCTCCATCGCTACCGGATTGGGCGATCCAGTCCGAACCGGGAACATTTCACCCCTGATCTGCCTGCCTTGGATGGCCCTTAGAGGCTCTGTATAAATGATTGTGGGGGCCAAATGCTAACTCTGTAAACTACTTAGAGAGGGCTGTAAAGCGGTATACAAGTCTAAATGCTCTTGCTGTACATGTGTGATTTCTGTGAGCGAGATCAGAGGAGTCATGGACCCGTTTCTCCATTCCTGAAGTGGGCCAATGTGTCAATTTTTCAACATGCAGATGATAAAAGAAATTGCCTATCTTGATTAAGCACATAAACTTTCTTTGCAATTTACAAGAACTACCAAAGAGAATAATTAGCATCAACAGGAGACCCAAATACTGAGAATTTTCTGTTCTGTGATGCAATGAAATATCTTTTTTGCAATCAGTCCAGGATTCATTACATTTAAGATCATGCAGAGCATCAGCTGGAATATGCAAAACCTAAAATCCCAAGAATCCTAAGATTCTAGAAACTAAGAATCAAATCTTAGTTCCATTTCCCTCATCCATGAGTCACAAAGACAAGGTAAGCAGAAGAACTAAAGAAGAATGATAATAGTGGTTGATGCTCCTCTTCTGGTAGTGCTAATCATATGAGCATGGAAGAGATTTGTTAAAAATGGAGGAAGAAATAAGAAGGTACTGTACCACAAACTTTTAGAGGCTCATCGGACCAGTCCCTGCAGTCCCTGTGTGAATCGCACACCTTGACTTCCTCTATGCATTCTCCACTTTTACACTGAAATTTGGTGGGACTCTCGCACGTCGCCTCTGTTATGTCAGGCAAGGAAGGAAAAGCAGCTGAAGTTAGATTAGGTACATGAAAATGAAGATGCATTATGAATGTGATTAGAAAAAAAATGAGATATGGTTAAGCAGTGGGATATTTAGATGTGATAGATTAGAACAAAGTCTGCTAAAGACAAAAAATATCTCTGATGAGGCCTCACTGCTGGAATATGCTAAACAGTACAGTATACTAAGATGAAGAGTGGGTTTGCTTCTTGGGAATGGAGGACTCTCTGGCATCTAAGCACTTTTTAACAGTGTTTTCTGCCACACCCCATGCCAGCAGACTTATCACACCTAGCATATCTACCATTAATGCAGCCAGCTTCATCACTGTTGTCAGGGCAATCGTGCACTTTGTTGCACTGTTTAGCTCCATGGATACAGGTCCCATCACCACACTGGAATTCATCAGGGCTGCAGGTCACCAAGGCTTAAAAACAAAAAGGAAAACAAAAAGAACCATCATCACCTGTTGCATTCTTTTCACAGGGTTTCTAATTGTCAGTAATTCTAAAGTTCTGGGGTATCCAACAGTTGGATTGTTACATGCTGCCCACAGACACTTTCCATGCAATGGACGCTCATATGAATTTGACAGATGAATAAATAAATTGGAGTCTGGGATCATTTCCCACTTCAGCATGGCACAAAAGAGCTGGAAAAATATTGTCTGTTTTCATTTTCATATGGTTTGTTCTTAACGATAAGTCAACTATTATGGCTAAATATGGATTTAAATCCATTGTTTAACATTCACGGTTCATTGTGTACATTGGGAATATTTCCTTAACAACTACGAGTTTTCTGACTCCTAGTTCTTCTTTTTCATTCCAAACCATTCTTTTGCTGAACGAGAATAATATTGTAATTTCATTGCAGATGTTTCATTTTTTATAACTTATACTTTATCGACATTAGTGAAAAGGCTATTAGCTAAAGCATTAGACTGAAACTTTAATATGTTGAAATATTATAGTATAATAAAATAATAATAACAAATTATTTCAGAACAAGAATAAAAAGAAAAAATTACATCCATTTATGAAGGAACACACCTGGAAGTACATAATGGTAGGCTTCTAGAAATAATAACTGACTCTCAGCAATTAAGAAGCAATTAAGACAGATAGCGAGGGAACAGGTAAAAATTACATCTTGATGTTTAAACATTTGATACTTAAGTCCCATTTAACATTGCTTGATCTTAAAAAGCTAAACAGGATTGGAATTGGCTAGTATATAGATGGGACTTCACCAGAAAAATCTCGGTAAGCCATCCTTAACTGGAAAGCAAAATGTCCTCTAGAAGAGTAATACCATTTCTGTATTATTGCTAAGAAAATTACATGTCTGCCTTCTTTAAACCAGCAGCTTGACTCAAAAGTGATCTTAACTTTATTTAATCTCCATATCCAACTCTTGAATAATAAATGGCTATTTTTAGGCCACCTATATTGCTGCTTTCTAACAATTTTTAGACCCACCCAAAACTTTTTTTAGAAAGCACAAAACTTGTCATAGCTGAGTGTCAATGTCGACAACAGCTGCAGAAGCACAGCAAAAATGCCTCTCTGAAATCATGTATTTTCCCCTTGGAGTATAGCATCCTTATATTAAAGGTCACTGCCAAAGAGTAGCTCAAGCAATATGACACAGGCACTAATTCAGATGATCCAAGAAGATTGTGACAGAATCTCCTCAGCAATTTTACTGTCATGAGGAACAGAAATTATGGCTCTTCAACATCCTGGACACAAGAAGAAGAGACTACCATGTACCCAGCAAGTATATGATATAAATTATCATTTATAATGAGATATAAATACAATTAATTAAGACTGTAAATTACAGGCATTCCCAATCACTACAGTGAACTATGCTTTGGCAAGCAGAATATTTACACAATGCTATATTCTTTATGTGATTCCTAATCTGATTCCAAAGCTCCTCAAAGAGTAAACATAGAGAAGTCTATTCACAGATCACTGTGCAAGTTAAAAAGCACATCTGTAGCAAGGATTTTATTTTATGTAGCATGTCAACACCTCTGAGAATGAACCTTCTGAATGTCTCCTACTGGGAGGTTGTTTTTTTTTTTTAATAGTTAGTGAAGTGCAACAAGAAGCACTAAACTAGACATTGTTCTGAATGGTAAATTCAGGAATTGTTCTTTTCTCCTTGGGTTTCAGGTGAAATACCAACTGCCAAGTTACAGCTCACTTCAATTTAAATCATTTTAACTTCATTAAACTTCATGGGATTGAGCTCATTTAATGAAAAAAAAAAAGCAGTCTAGATAATTAGAAAATAAAGCCTTGGAATTCATGGAACCAATCTTGGCTTCACTTATCCATGAGAGTCTTCTAACATAATATTAGCAAACTATTTGGCTGGTTCATGGAAAGCCATTAACATCAGAGATAAGCCTCTGCTTAGTAATTGTGTACTGAAACGGAGTCAAAGTAGACAATATTTGATACCATGCTAGAATATTAAAATGTGAATACAGAAGATAAAGTTGGAAACACAATATACACATAGGAGGAAAATATGGATGGATGGAAAAGGAAGATCTTTGCTTATAACATCACAATAAGCAAAAGTCATGATCGTGCCCTATAATCCACATAAAGGTAACAGTAATGATAAAATCTCCTTTGAGTCAAGTTGGACTCCTGATGCCTTTATAGAACCTAACCATTAAACTGCTTACTACATCAGTTCTACAGGTAGACCTCGGCTTACAACCATTTGTTTAGCGACCATTCAAAGTTACAACGGCACTGAAAAAAAGTGACTTACAACAGTTTTTCAGACTTACTACTGTTGTAGCATCCCTATGGTCATGTGATCAGAATTTGGCCACTTAGCAACTGGTTCATAATTATGATAGATGCAAATGTTACGAAGTCATGTTGTTACCTTTCGGAAACTTCTGACAAGCAAAGTCACTTAACCACCGTCTTATTAACTGAACAACTGCAATGTTTCATTTAAAAACTGTGGCAACTAAGGTTTTAAAATGGGACGAAACTCACTTAACAATTGTCTTGCTTAGCAACAGAAATTGTGGCTGTAAGTTGAGGACTACCTACATATACACTCAGAGAAACATTTGGAACACCCAGGCCTAAAGTTCACAAGGATGCCTGCAGAACAAATCAAAATAGAAATATATCTGGAAAGGACAAGTTCTAGAGATCAGCCGTGTTCATCGAGCAAATCTGATCCATTCAAGTTTTGTGCTGCCTTTGATAATCTTTTGCTTCACTGACTCCATTAGTAGTGATTATTCAGCAAACTTTGTTTCTCAAAACATATGAATAGATGAAGCATGCTTTATATCAGAATCGTTTTCATATTTTAATAATATAAAGGGTATTCCTAAAAACACTTTACATTTTATAGTGGGTTGCTTATCCTGAGGTCTGGATTCTTTTTAGATCGTTGAGCAGGAGATACCAGGAATTTAAATGAGAACTGTTTATCTGCCAATTATCTACCTACTGAAGTCCTTCTAAAAGGTTTAAATAGATATACACTACATAAATATAAAATATAAATATGCACACACACGCATGCATAAATCAGGACATCAGCCGTTAGGTGTGCTCTTTTTCAACACATATTCTATTTATTTCTTTGTTCATCTGCTGCTCTCTATTTTGTTCATTTGCCAAAGCATTTTTATTTGTTTTCAGCACTAAAACGGAGCCTTCATTTTACTTTCTTCCCTCAAAAACAACTTATGACAACAGTCGGCATATGTGGCCTTGAAGCGGATTTTAAATTTAGGACACATTTCCTTTATATATGAGATACTGCAGTGTGACAGATGAGTATAAATAAAGGAAAGTTGATTATTTTAAGTTCTTTGCCAAAAAGAGATCATGATCACTAGGAATGCAAAAGATCGGAAAGCTTATTGCAGTAGATATACAAACAAACAATTGTGATCTAATGTAGATACAGCAGTTCAGGACCTGTCTGTTGGAATGAACTAGTCCCTGGGGGACCTAGCACTTTAATCTCCCTTCCCTCTTTACCACATGTCAATTCAATACTTTCTGGTTAGCTGAACCACAGTTTCCCATGATGCCTGAACTTGAGAAACCTGGTTTGAGTATTCCCTACAAAACAAAATATCAGACTCAGAAACTGTGCTTTAATCTTTCTGACTCTATGAAGAGCTCAAACAGTTTCCCAGAGAAATGTCACTGAAAATCATGCTTTGGTAAATCAGGGTGAATTGAAATAAATCATGCGAGACAAGAAACTTCCAAGCATATATAGCTAGTTCCTGGGCCTGTGTTGAAATTTACTCTGAGTGGGGTTTGGTACTAGAAGTCTGTCAAAATGCCACACTTCGCATAAGCCACTGCCTTGTACAGGTGATCCTCGACTTACAAACACAATTGAGCCCAAAATTTCTGTGGCTAAGTGAAAATTTGTTAAGTGAGTTTTGTCCCATTTTATGACCTTTCTTGCCACGGTTGTTAAATGAATCACTGCAGTTGTTAGGTTAGTAACACGGTTGTTAAGTGAATCTGGTTTCCTCATTGACTTTGCTTGTCAGGAGGTTACAATTAGTCACATTTATTTATTTAGAAAATTTATATTTATAAATATTTATATTGCTGCCTACTCACATATGGCAACACAAGATGGCTTACAACAGGGGTGGGCAACTGTGGCCCTTTTACAACCTGTGGACTTCAACTCCCAGAATTCCTGAGCCAGCTTGGCTGTTTCAGGAATTCTGGGAGTTGAAGTCCACAGGTTGTAAAAGGGCCACTGTTGCCCACCCCGGCTTACAAGGATGATCCCAAGCCACGGCAAACGTCATAAATATGAGTCAGTTGCCAAGCATCTGAATTTTGATCACATGGCCGTAGGGGTGTTACAATAGTCATAATTGTGAAAAGTCACTTTTTTCAGTGCCATTGTAACTTTGAATGGTCACAAAATGAACTTTGTAAGTTGAGGACTAACTGTATATCTATTACGTCTTCTGAAAATGGAATTAAAAACAAACAAAGAAAAAAAATCCAAATTCTTAAGAGTGTTCATTTCTACCTCCAGATGCAAGCTCAAGGCCTTTAAAAAAAAGAGAAAAATAAGAAGTGAGAATAGCCAAAGAAATCCATAAAGGGATTTAAAAAAAAACCAAAACAAACAAACAATAATAATCCAGAAGGTAAATTTTAAATTAGTGAACAGGAATTTTCTTCTGTAGCTGACAACTTAATGTATTTGCCCGATTTATATGATTTTTACTAATTCTCAATAATTTTGTAAATAAATTGCACAAGGCTTTCTTGGCAAATTAAAAAGATTCAGTCCGCAAGCAAAAATTGTCAACCAGGCAGATGTTTTTCAGCCACTCTGCTCATCCATAGTTTTGTATAAATATTTCATTTCCATGTTGCATTTATAAATATTTCAGTGAAACATTTTCTCAATTTCTGTCTGTCTGTCTCTTAAACCTTGGGTGAATGACTAGCTTAAACTACTTAAAACCTAAAAATAGATGAAACATTGTGTAAAGAGAAATGCAATATTCAATAGCTCAGGGTCCATAATAACGTGAATATTTACAGAAGAGGACCTTCAGTTTTTGGCACCCAAAGCTATTCAAGCTGCAGGTACAAGTGTTTTTCATTACAATTTAAAATGATATGCAGACAGGAATACAAACTAGACGTACCTTTTTACAGAAAACATGAATTAAAATCAACTAGCGAATCAAATGGACCTGTTATTAATTACTCAGTTCTAGATACAATATAGAATCAATATACAATATTAGTCACTAGAACGTGCTTAATTTAAACCAAAAATCTTGACATCAATATTCTAGTTAGGATTAATTTCGTTTTTATAGAACAATCTTGATTGTCAGGCACTTCAACTATAATCTTGTTGATAATCTGGGCAATTTGGAACAAGGACCTAACTAACCAGATATTACATTTCAGAGGTTGAGTTATAACTTCTTGCAAAATAAAAGATGCATACTAACTCTGCAAGAACCCCACCCAGAATTGAAATACAAAGGCCATCACATCAGGATCAAATGCAATGGATTGACCCCTTCCCCAAATACAGTTCAAAATTTTGGACACTTACAACAATCTTGTTCGTCTGACTTGTCTTTGCAGTCTTCATCTCCATCACATTTCCAATTCAAATGGATACATTCCCCATTGCCACACTGGAACTCGTGCGCTGCACAGGTGTTCACAATTTGTGGTTTGAGTTTGTATCCACACCTCTCCATGGACTCATCTGAGAGGTCCTCACAATCAGGCTGTTTGTCACAGACCCAAATCTGTGGGATGCACAGGCTATTGTTACACTGGAACTCATTCGGGTTGCAAGTGAAGGGAGGGCATTTTCTCTCGTCACTGCCATCACCACAATCATCGTCACCATCACAGACAAAGATTGTGGCTATGCAGGTCTTGTTGCTGCACTGGAATTCACTTGAAGAACAGACTTTGGGGGGAAAAAACAGATAAGGGTTAGCTCAAACTTATTATTTTATTTCATATTTTAAATCTTCAAAAAATCATCCTGCTCTTAGCTATCTTCTCCCTACAACACTGGAAAAACATGTGCAATGCTTGCACATTTCTATTTTTTAATACTGTTCCAGCCTGATGATTCTATTTATTATGCATTTAAAAAAAAGCAATCAAAACCACTCTTGTTTTTTACTCCATTAATATAACCACCTATTCATGTTTTAGGATAATGATAGGACCATGCAATGCTTCTCCCTCTGTCCTTCATCTTTGCTCCGGTTTCATAGCAACTTGAACTATCTTTTCCTGCATAGCTTGTCAACTTTTGGTAAGGGTAAACATTACATGGAAAATAAAGATACTTACTTAGTTTATAAACAAATAAGAATTTATTAAAAAAAACCTATTGATCAAGTGGAAGTCCTACATTTTGTTCCTAGTGCTGCCAATGGTAAGCTACTGGTAGTAAAGAGAACATTTAAGAGCCTTGGTGGCGCAGCAGACTAAAGTGCTGTTAAGTAGCACCAGCTGCCTGCAATTACTGCGAGTTCAAATCTCACCAGGCTCAAGGTTGACTCAGCCTTCCATCCTTCCGAGGTAGGTAAAATGAGGACCCGGATTGTGGGGGCAATAAGCTGACTTTGTATAAAGAAGAACACTGCTTAGGGGCCCCTGAAAGCCCTACTAAGCAGGTATATAAAAAAGTATGAAGGCTATTGCTTAACGCATTGTAAGCCGCCCTGAGTCTCCGGAGAAGGGCGGCATATAAATCGAACCAATGAATAAACAAACAAACAAACAAACAAACAAATAAACATAAGGTAAAAAGGACCTTCATATCGATGCTTTCCCCACTGGTATTAGAGGCATACAATCTCTGGCATTACATTAAAGAAAGGAAGTTTTAACCACAATAGAGCCTGGAATTTCAATTATAAGTTGTAGAGCTTGTAAGTTTAGTTACTGTATGACAGGATTTGATCATTTTTGTGACAAACTTAAAGTGTGCCACGACATGTGGTTGTTAAACGAATCCATTCTTCTAAATGGGCTCTTTTTGCCAGAATGTGACCAAAACTGGAAACTGTCAAAAATGTCAGACATCATGGCCACGTGATTGTTGGATGCTGTCCCCAGTACTAAATGCAAGCTGGTTGCCAAGTGCCTGGAATATGAAAACATGACCAAGGGGGAGGGGTGCCAGCAGTTACAACTTCAAGGACAGGTCATAAGTAGTTATTTTTAAGTCCATTATAATTTTGAACAATTGTTAAACAACTGGTTTGTACCTGTAGCCACATTTAATAACAACCATCTATAATTAGACCAACAGATCATTCTGCCCAATTATTTTTTTACACTGTGTATAGATTTATCCATCCTTCCTCCTTGTTTCGTTTTGTGAAAGCTGAAGAGACCCAGATGTGAATCTTTTATTGATAAAGGGGCTCTTTCTCTTTTACACAGCTTTAAATATCTGAGACCAGAATTATATACCTTCTTCTAAGATTGCTTCCCATAGTATTACTGAGAGGTTGAACCATGCTGATGCGCTGGAGAAGAGCAAAGGTTCATTTGCTATCTAAAGTTTTGGAGAGTTCTACCAAACTCTCACTTCCATATTACAAAGTTGGCATAAGCACAATTTTATAAGTATCAATTTTATTTCTTTCATAATTTATTATTTTAATGTTTTGACTATGTATCCCACTTTGAATGGGGAGAGTTGGGAATGCTGCAGTTTACTAAAACATATAGTTTGTAATCCCACACCATTCCTTGATATACCAAAAGAGAATATATGACATGAAGGACTATTTGTGACATGTATATGAAGAGGATGCTTTGGAATTAAGACTTGTGGCCAGCAAGTAAAGGCAGAGCTACTCAAGAACCATCATTGACTTAGGTATGAGTATAAAGAAGCAGGGAACAATAAAAATTCCCTCCATAATCCTTGCAAAGGACAAATTGAATTCACTATCCATCATTCGTAAACATTTATCAAGGCATAACAAATTAATCTATTTGTCTCATTTGGTTTAATAGTTAAAACACTGGTCTATTAGAAACTGCTGCTGAGTTCTATGGAAATTTTTCTTGGAAGACTGATCCATTCTTTAAATATCCTAAACCTAATTTGAGAATTCATAGTGACTTATTCTGAGCACTTCTGCTTAACAGTCCTTAAGAAGTACAGTCTTTGTAAAAAAAGGAAAAAAAAAGCCAAGAATTCAAATGAAGGTACTACTATTGATTCCTTTTCTCTACTTCCTATATTTAACTCACCCCAATTACTTCTTTATTCTAACTTGAACAATGTAACTGTTTCTCAAGTCTATCATTCAACATAACTGTCCTTGACAGTCACTACCAATTCAGAGCCTCTACAGCATTAATGTCAAGTAAATATCATTTTACCTTTGTAGGTTTCTAAAAATATTACATATTTGCTTATTCAAAAATGCTGTGCCAAAATCTGCCTTACAATTCCTACGAACATTTCTTTCTTCATTAAAGAAGTGGTTTTAAAACCATTTTTTTCAGGATGCTAGAAAATTTCTATAGAAAGTCTCTCTCTTTCTCTCTTTTTTTTTTTTGAGATTATTTTGGTTTTATAGTAATAAACCGTGTTTTCCTGAAAATAAGACCCTGTCTTATATTTTTTGAACCCTGAAATAAGCGCTTGGCCATTGCCATGCGCTCAAAAGCCCGATTGGGCTTATTATCAGGGGATGTCTTATTTTGGGGGGGGGAAACAGGGTAATACCTTAGCACTTTCTAACTAATTGTATGAATACCATACTCTTTTCACAAAGGCTACAACATCAGAACTATCTTCTACTTCAGCAGCAAATATTATTTCATTAAATGGAATAAGAGCCTATTCCAAAAAAATGTAGAATTGTTCTGCTTGACATTTCTATTTGCAGGCTTAATGCCAGTTCTCATAGCTTGAGTGAGAGACACCCCTTGGGATTCTTTGCTGTCACTTTTTGTCTTAACTCCACTAAGTAACATTTTCATCATTAGAAGCTGACCATTCCTAGAGTTGTGAGCTGTAGGGCTCAATAAAACGAAAACTATGTGGAATGTAGAAAAATGGGATTTTTTACTTGCTTGAGATAGGTAGCTGTAGAACGAACGAACGAACGAACGAACCAATTGCACGAATAAATAAATGGATAAAGAGGATTTCGCTTGCCAAGATAATCTGAAGAAAAGACTCAACTAAGAAAAATCTTCCTTTGATGATATTGATTCTTTTAATGTATACTGTATAGTCAAGGTTGTGTCTGTGAATCATTAGGAAACTCCTAGGGACCATTTTGATCCAGCTATCTTGTGCCGTGATCACAATGGTGTCTTGGGAAACAGAGCTTGTTCAACTGGAAGTTCAAGAGGTAGACACTGAAATGAGCTGAAAGCTGCATGTCTTGCCCTTTAGGGAAAGGGGGATGAATAATTCTGAACATTCATTCATATTAATTCACTGAAACAAATATAAATGTAATGCTATACTGGCAATTGTTTAACATTAAAACTTAACTAAAAATGGCCAAGATGGTTTAAACGTTCTTCCAAACATGAAAGAAATCAAATGTCATATGAAACTGGGGGAGTCCTAGAATTATATCATGTAAACTAGTCACGGGATAGAACTGTACAATTCAGAGGACTGTTGCATCTAAAGTCTGATGAGCAACTATATGGCCAGATGGCCGAGGGCTACAAAAAAAGCTGTTACAGTTAGAGGCCTGGCAGGGTGTGGGGTCAGGATCTGAAAGCCATAGCACTATTTTGCTGAGAATTTCTCTGCCCTCAGTTTGGCTTTTCTAAGTGGCAATTTCATTCTCCTCCAAATGTTAAGTAGGTTGCAGAATTTCAGAGCGTGTTCTGAACTTCCTAAGAAGGATGCACTGGGTAAATGCTCAGTGAAGTATGCAGGGATTTGGCTTCTGAATGGCATCGATAAGCCCTTTTGCAATAAATTAAAAATTCCTCTGGAAGTCACTATGTAACATTTACAAATAATTAGGCCTTTCTGAGAAGATTTCACACTTCCTCCCATCTCTGCTTGCCACATTTAGAGTTAGACTATCTGTAGCAATTCACATGAAAACTTATAGGTATTCCAGCTGCAACTTTTTCAGCCAAAAAGGAAATCTATTTCCACATTAAAGAGTTCCCACAAAATAAGCTTAAATATATGCAATTTCTTTTTAATTAAAGGGGAAGAATAAACTTTGAAACTACTGTAACCAATTGTTTTACAGTAACCCCAAATGAAAAGGAAAATAATCCTGAGAATGACATTTGAATCAGTGGTGGGTTGCCCCTAGTTCGGACCGGTTCTATAGAATCGGTAGTAAAACCTACGAGAGGCTCCGCCCACTGACCCCGACGTTATCAGGAAGCTTCTGCACATGCGCAGAAGCGCGCACGGCCCCGTTGCAAACCGGTAGTAAAGGTAAGTAGAACCCACCCCGATTTGAATCGTTTTAAAAGCCAATAGTTACATTCTCATTGTTCCTTATGCCCTATGTCATAATAAACAACATAGCTTGCAAAAAGATGACAGGAATCAGAATGTCAAATCTGGAAATACATTTTGGAGATCTCTGAATACTAGATAAAGATTATAACAGATTGCAGCTCTAGAGCTTCAGGTTTTGATCTTTACATAGTAAGTAGAATTTCTTGGAACCATCTCCTTCCATTTTAATATGGGTTTTCCCCTGATACTACTTCTACCATATATGAAATTGAAGACTAAAAGTCAGAGTAAACTAGTGTGTCTTTATTTAATTAGGGTATTGCCTTGTTATCTCTGAATATCCAGTCATAGGAAGACTTACAAATGACTCCAGAAAAAAGGTGCCAGGGTTTGAATTACTACATCAGCAATGGGCTATCCTGAATAGGATTTGCACCTCACATAGCGTCTGCTGGGACTCTGTATAAATGGGC